GGGGGGTTTGGAAGAAATCTTCAAGGACCTGTAAGAAACGAAGAGGAAAAAGTGGGAATTATTGGGGACAGGGAGAAAGTGATGTTGGATGGCTGAGGAGAAACAACAACAATAACATACCCAGTTTAAATCCACAAGGGGTCTAGGGAGGGTAGAGTGTATGCAGACCTTGCCCGCATACATTGGGAGGTAGAGAGGTTGTTTCCTATTATCGCACTATTTTGTTGTAGTTATTGTTCCTTCTTTCAGAATGCTAAAGAGAGTTGCAATTGTATTTATATATGGACAGTGAAGGGGAAGAGAAGGGAATAGTGGGCTACCTTTTGTTGGGAGAGAGTGTTTAGTAGCGGCAGAGAGGGCTTCTGTTGTTCAGGAATAGGTTATTCATCTATGTGGATACTTTTCCAACTTCTCTCTCCAACTCACAAGAAAAAAACAAGGCTCTTATTGGCTGGAAGTTGCCAATAATCACAAGGAAAATATATGAACAATTCCAATATATCAAGGATGTTAAGTATAAAGCACAAGGAGAGTTTAAGGTATAATTTGCAATGTGGTTTGTGCAACAACAACTTACCCAGTAGTTCTCTTTATTTTAAAAACCAATAGTGGAGCACCCTTCTTATTAACCCCCCCCAAGAGATGCACTCTAATTTTGGTCTAGTGGTAAGAGTGCAACATGTGATGAATGGACAAAAGCCTGGTATTTAATGGAGAAAAGTAGAAGGGTGGACCCACTATCCACTGAGTTTCGAACCATGTGACCGCTAACTATCGGAGATTTCTCAGTTATCAAAAAGTAAAACAAATTTGGTGAAAGTGGGTAAATCTCGGCACACAGATAATAACATAAACATGCATTGATATTTTCCTATGGGATCTTGTTGAAAAGTCTTGGGGTTTGTTTGAGTTGAGCTATTTTGCGTCCCATCCAATTCTGCATTTTCATTAGAATTTTAACTCTTGTTTCATTTCTTTTACTGTAGTTTGGCATTGTTTAAGATTCTTAACTAAAATATCTCTGCCTGCTCACTTTTCTAGCTTGATTTTGCTTTAATTTAAGTTTTATATTTAATGCTGAAGATCTGTATTTGTGATATCTTTAGTTTGTATCATGACGAATGATGGTTTTGGATATACTTTATTGAGCGAGATTTGTATGTCAGCAGAAAAATTTAGAGAATTTCTACTGTTAGAGAACCTATATCATTGGTTGTTGGGATGGAATGTGTTCAAATAGAACAATATGTATAATGGGGATTCAAATAGTCAACCCCAAAGTAGATTGGGATTTAGGCGGTCTAGGGATAATTGTGCAGCTTGACTAATTATTTGGGTTTATCTATATTTCTCACCAGCATGGGTACTGGGTAAGTATAGCAACTAAAGTTCAGGTATATGGGTAGAACTCACATAGTGTTCTTTCTACTGGGATTGGTTTCCAAGATTATACTCTTCGACTGTTCTGTCATCCCCTTGGGGACTAAACTCTTTTGCAGTTTTTAACTTAGCTATGTCCTAACTGGCATTTTGGATGTAACTGTAGAAGAAAACATTAGACAATCATTGGATTTTTTCCCCATAAACTGGGTGGATAGTTAAAAATAAGGGAAAAGGGTCAAAAATACCCCTCAACTTTATTTTATTGGTTGACTTTACCCTTGCTGTTCAAATGAAGTTATTTTGATCCCTGCCATTACTAATTTCAGTATGTATACCCTTCAATTGACGGAAAGCCCCAAATTGACTCAAATTAACCCGAATTTTTAAAAATAGACCCATTCCCCATTTTAAACCCAATGCCCCGACTCCTCTAACCTATAACCCATTCTCCTTTACCCATTAGGGGCATAAGATTCCATTCCTTCTGGGTAATCAACTGCCGGAATAAGCCTCGAAGCTCCAACGTCGGCACAAAATCGCCAAAATCATCCACCACACCATCAGACTATGCTTCTGCAAAAGAACACGCCTTGGCCCTTACCATCAATCTCAATATGGCCATCTTTGTCCCTGCACAGCCTCCCATCCATCGGATAAAACGGCAGCCTCCCACCCATCGGATAAAACGGCAAAGGGCTTTGCTTAGTACCTCCTTAAGCACCTTTCCATCAAAAAAATTTGGGGATCCTGTTGGCCTATAGAAATAAACACTGGTGTGTGGAAATTAAGCACCACCAAATCCACATTAGAGTTCCACAGCCTCAGTTGCGGCGTCTCCGTCACCGGCTACACCATCGTCGATTTTCCCACCTCGATCTTCATCGCTGATCAATTAACTCTGTTTCTGAAATGAAAAAAACACAAAAGTTTCTTTAAAATTACCGATTGAAATTACAAATTATTTATTTTCAATTACCCACTAGAATGTGATATGCTACCAACTTTCTTTGTTAAATATCCATTAGCATCATAAAATGAAATTAACTCAATAAAAAATGACTTACCTAGTGAGAAGAGAAGGAGCATGATATTGTAGTTGAGCTTTTTTGCCTCGAAGTTATGGGTGATGAGAGGGTGTTTCAACTGAGGAAGGAGATGAAGATTAGAGAGATGGGTTTAGGGTTTTAATTTGGTATGAATTCGTGGGTCGGGTTCGGAAATGAAATATAAAATCAGGTCATTTTAATTGAAATTGGGGCTTTCCATCCATTTGAGGGGTACAAGTGACAAGTATAGTAACGGCGAGGGTAAAAATAACTTCATTTTAACGGTAAGGGTAAAGTCAACCAATATAATAAAGTTGAGGGGTATTTTTGACCCTTTTCCCTAAAAATAATATCGTGGTCTAAAGTTCAGTTTGTTAGTGAGTCAATTTTTTTATGTCAGTGACCCATTTTACAAATATAGACTTCTGTCTATGAGATTTGGTGTTATCTATTCAATTACTTAAATGTGCATCCAGAAGATCTCAAACGTTCTTGCTCAATTAGCATTATGTCAGAATTGGTATTCTGAATAACAGATTTTTCACTGAAATACATCAGTACTGATATGGTATTATTGCTTTTTCAGGAAGCACAAACATATGCGGAGGAGAATGGTCTGTTCTTCATGGAAACATCTGCAAAAACTGCATCTAATGTTAATGACGTTTTCTCTGAAATAGGTCAAGTTTTGTTTGTGTTATGGGCTGCCAGCTTGCATTTGTGGTAGATCAGTCATGTTTATGCTCTTATTGGCTACACATATCACTATTGTTGTGTTATCAGTTTTAAACCACTACTTATATGCATTTTGTATGACATGTCATGATTGGGAACAAAAAAAAAGAAAAAGTAGAGGAACTAGAAATTATTAAACTAGTTATGGAGGATAGTTTTTGATGAGTAGGTCACTAGATGATGATTTAAAATGTGGTGTTTATTCTGTTTTTTGGATCTTTAGATTGGTTAGATGTTTTACTTGGAAATAATACTAGTACTCGACATATATAGTATAATTTTTTGTTGGCATTTTCAATCCACTAATTCATAAACCATGTGTTATCTATGGTGCAATTGACATTATCATAAATGGAATTTGATGTGGATAATGATGCATGGTATTAGCAATACATGTATATGATCATAGAAATGACAAGAATGCCTTCAAAATTGTTACTTCTCAGGCTTTATATATATTTTAAAAAAAAACACATTTGATTGTAAAATCACTCTTAAATTCTATCATTCTCAAGAATAAACATCTCGCCATATAGTGAATAACTGGTTCCTTTGGAACTTCCAAATGTTGTGGTGGTTAATCTTACCTATTAAATTTCTCTGCAATAGTCTCTCCAAGTTGGACTTTGTTTGACTAATTGTTGTATATAGCTGGAAACCTATCATTTTTATCAACCTGAATATCTCTTGAACTGTTTATTCACTTGCAGCGAAGAGACTGCCTCGGCTTCAGCCAGCACAAAATCCATCTGGGATGGTTCTTATGGATAGGCCTGCTCAAACACCGGCTGCTGGTTCTTGTTGCTCTTAAATCGCTGCTGGTGCTTTTCATCTCAATGTTGTTTTTGCTTAATTTGTTTTTGCTGATTGTTAGAGTTCGTTGTGCCCATGGTCCATCACTGTACAGATTTCATGGAAAAAAAAATCAATGTGCTGAACTCTTTTCTATGGATCCTCCTAATGTAATGAGATTCTGTGACATGCTTCAGTATGCTATTAAACAATATATGCATCATATAACTATTTAATATTCATTGGGTCTGTCAGTCGTTTGAGATTGATGTGTAGTAGTAATAGTAGTACCGGAGGGACTTATCAATCAGCCATCAGCTATTCATATACAATCAAACTTCTCTATAATGACGTTCGTTTGTATATTTTTTTACTGCTATAGTTAGATTGTTTTAGAGGATAACTGATAGCTGAGTTGATCAATCTGAATATAGACAAGTACTACTTGTTTTAGATTATGCTTTCTAATGACATATAGATATATGATCTTTTAGTACTATATGATTAGTTACTAAATATCAACCACTTCCATTGGGATGTATCCTCCTCTTTGGTAATTAAATTAATCGAAATGATATTAAGATGCTAAACTATGCCGAAGAAACTGAACTAATCAAAGATTTAAGAACAAACAATATAGTATGAGAATGAAAAGGGAAATTTGGTGCATAAAGTATCCCGCGTCTGGAGGAGGGCAACTTTATTGCTGTTTCAAGATGCCAATCTACTTTCCACGAGTATTTTTTGCAATTTCATTCGTCTTTTTTAACCTTGAAGAAGACAAAAAGCATTTGAAACTCTAAACTAAAACCTCAAAGTCGACCCAAAGGAAGTTCCAATTATAACATGATACAGAAAAATTACACTGAACTCACTTTTAGTTACTCTCATCATAATATCACTGACTTACTGTCCCCTTTTATCTGTTCTATTCCTTATTAATAACTAAAGCATATTTTCTCTATCTTCCCAGTGAAAAACTAAGTGATTCACATTTTATAGTTTTCGTTTTAATTATTGTTCGAAGGTAAAACATTTTTTTTTTACTTTTCTTCTATCAATTACATGAACTATATATGTATAGTAGCATATACATTACAGTAATAAAATTGTAGGATTTTTATCCCAATTCTTTGTAGCAATACAAGAATATACATCTATTCCTACGTAAAATCTTAACAATCTGTTTCTCAACCTCTACAAAATTAGTTTCTTATCAATTTCTCAGGACCTCACTTGTGGGGTTATACAGGATATATACAACAACAATCCTTATTATGTAATGCATATGCATGTTGGTACTGTTTTTGCTATATTAAATAAAAATAAAAATGATAGATATGTCATATTGTTGAAAGTATTGCAGATACAATTCAAAATGATTCTTTATTTCCCAGCAACTAGAATACATCCAGCTCAGTCCTTTGGACTGAACGAAATTCATCTTCTTCTTTTTTTTGTTAAACTTTCTTCAACAATACACAAAAACATCATAAAACAAAAGCACTAAATTTAAAATCACAGCTCCTAGCTGAGGTCCATATTATATATGTATAGTTTTTATTGGACACAAAAGCAGCTAGCAGAATCCAATTGCTTTCATTAATGTTTATTTATGTAGCTATGTCTTGTGAAGCCCTTGAGAAGTTGCAGCTGAGGCACAATCAGTAGTTTGAAACCCAATCCTTTCTTTCTCCAAATCATACACAACTTCCACATTTTGTTGTTGGAAGTTTCCGAAAATCCCAGCTGGCCCTTCTTCGGAATCTTCCATGCTTTGGAACAGCAAACATTTCACCACTGTTGAGTTTCGTGGTGCACCCATGGCATAGAAATTGTTCTCATTAGGCAAAACAAGGCTAACATTATTCAAGAAATGGAATGTTATTGGAGGGAAATCATCGGTAACTAGACTATTAAGGTTGTTATTAGGGCATGGGAGCCTATAACATAGGTCAAACCCTGTCCGTGCCTCAATATCCTCAGCACGTGGGTAATTTATGGATGATCGAAGGGCGGTGAGAAGATTCGAGTAGAATGGTTCAGGTAGGTGAGTGTAAGTGGTTCCGGAATCAATCAACATTCCTCCATTGCCTAAAGAATCAAATTCTCTCAAGGTTAAGGGAACTTGTGTAGTGGCACCATTTCCCACAGTTATAGCTTCTAAGCCAATGTAATAGAAATTAGGGTACATAGGGCTTTTCAACATAGGAGTAAATTGGAAATTTTCTTTGAAGGAAATGGCTTGATCCCCTACTACTAGAGGGCTAGATATATTAGGGTTATTTGCAAACTTGAAAGGCAAGAAGCAATGTGAAAAACCCTTTTGAAGAAACCCTAATTGTGAAGGCAAAGAAAGTGGACCTTTACCAAACCCTACAATCCCAATAGGCTCTCTATAAGTTGTTCCAACACATCCAAAGACAAACTTTGGGACTTCCCTAATGGAATTAGGGTTTGAACTAGTCCCATGGACTCGAAGAGTATCTCTAGTTAGGGTTCCCGATACGATACCTTCACCATATGTGTAAGCAAAAGAAGGACATGGCCTAGAACAAGTGCCCTTAAGTAGACTATTCAATGAGCATCCAGCAATAGTACATTGATCAAAAGGATTATCGGAGCTATGGATATCGATACAAGAGGAACTAGCACATAAATCCCTATAGGAAGAAGATGAAAATGAAGGAGAAAAGCTTGACATTAGCTTGTGATCCCTATAGTCATCACAATCTATACAATCAAATGATAGGTTCCCACAAGGTACCCAAGTAAGGTCACTTCCAGTATCCATATACACTTGGATAATTTGTGGGGGTGTTCCTATATTCAAAGATATCAAATAACCATCTCTCACTTCTCTCAATGGCTCCCTTATGTCCAATGTTTCTGAGTTTTTTTTCACTAAATTATACGATGATTTAGGTATCGTAAGGCTGGTTTTCGTTTGAGTTAAGCTTAACACCAAGGAATAAGAAGGTTTTTTTCCCTTTGCATAGCATTGGTTGAAATGAAGCAATGCACTAGAAAGAAAGAATAAGATGAAGAAGTAAGTTGAGAGGCTAATAAAAGATGTTGTCATTTTCCTTGATGTTTAAATTCTTAACATGAAATAAGGCAAGAGGAAGCTGGTATTTATAGCAATTTCTAGTGTTAATGGAGGGAATTAGGGTTTCTTGAACTTTAACTTAAGCTTTTCTGTGCTTACAGATGTTGCATGGTGAAGAATGATTAATTAGGTTTTCCTTTTCTTTGTTATTTTTTTTGTTAATGGGTATTTCAATAAATAAATAAAAATGTATAGGAAAGAAATAAGAAAGTGTACCAATGTGACCTTGTGGTCAACGAAGTGGATTGAGAATCATCAGGTCTTAGGTTCAAACCTCGGAGACAAAATACATTAGGTGATTTCTCCTATCCAGAGTTATTAATATATACACCATGAAATTAATCAAGATGCGTTACATTAGGTGATTTCTTCTATGCAAAGTTACTAGTACACCATAAAATTAGTCGAGATGTGGGCCAGAAAGAGGAATCTTGTTGCACAATAATTTAAAGTGAAAATGAAATGAGTTTGCATGGCTTTTCTTATAGTGATTCAGTCATTCTAGAAAGGTATAGTAGGCCGCATATTACCTGAATAGATCGATTCCGTACGTACCAATCAGTTGAAAAACTACTAGGCGTGCTGTTATTTTAATTATTTCTATCAATAATTATATTAGTTTTAGTATCATTATAAATTTATAATTAAGGAGTGTTTAACTGTTAATTAAAGAGGGTGTCATGTTTGAGTTTTAAAAAGCTGCCTTATGGAAGTAAATGAGAAGTGGTTTGCACGTGGAAATGCACACAAGAAAATGCTACTACTATACTAATAATACTATGAACAAATTAAATAGTTTTGCTAATTCATATTAGTTAAATGATGACATTACGAGAAGCGGCGCATCTGACACAGATTTGGACCACTCTTTATATGTGTTTGTCACGGTTTATAATTGGTTAACTCGACGAGTTAGGCTTGTCAATTTAATATTGATCATGATCATTGATTTTGGATCGTGACATAATATTTGAATCAAAGGATTTACAACTAAACATAGTCTTTTAATCTCTTTAATAACATGCACATTAGAGCAAAACATTAACAAATCATCAATATTTGACTCTAATTTTGTAGTACTCGTTTACAACTATTTTCCAAATTCTCTTCTTCTTCAAATATCACATTATTTTTTGTTAATGTACAAACGCCTACTGAATTAATCTTTCCAAATTTAATTGATCTAAAATGAATTAAGAAATTAATGTCCTCTACAGATGGATTCAATTCTCCATTAACCAATTCTTTTTTACTCCGATGATGTCAAAAATCCTTGTGTAAGTTATAATTAATACAAACCAAACAATCTTAACTGCATCAAAATCAATCTTTAGACTAAACAAACAAAGGGAAAAAAAACAAAAAAACATGTACTATGAACAAAAAGTAGAAGCATGATCGATGATTCACAAATGATCATGATTTGAGATAGTGCCCACCATGTCACTACCAACAAGAACCGTTTTTTATTTTTCGTTTTTCTAAGAAAAAAATATTAAAATAATCATTATCTATTTGAAATTTACTGCTTATTCGAATTTCAACTACGTATGTTAAAACATTTCCGGTTAAATATAACACAATTCTCATAACTTAAACGTTAAACATAAAAAAAAAAAATCTCATCCATTCCGCTACACCCGTTATTGGTACTTGCCTTGGTTGGTTTTATAGTATTCAAAACAAAGAGGCCATATATCATAATCAAAGTAGGATGGCAATCAAAGGTGGAGCTAAGTGAAGGTTTGTGAGTTTGAACGAATTCAATAGTTTTTCTGTAGATCCTGTATTTGTAATAGAAAATTAAATAAATATATATGTATGTATATTAATTTGTGAAAATACTTTTCACGCCAGAGTTGTGGATTCTCAAACCCTACTATCAACAAAAAGTTTCTCTTTTTAATTTTAAAAAAAAAAACTTAGAAACTCCAAACTCCTAATTTTAGAACCCAAAAACTCTTAATCTTGACTTCGGCTCTGAATTGACAGCAATGTCGAGACAGCAAAGTTTAATCTGTAATTTTAGAACTATCAAATTCTTAATCCTGACTCCGCCTCGCAGCAGTGTAGAAACTCGAGACAGATCATAATGCAGCAAAGTTTAATCTGATGTGGACATGACGCTATATTCCTTAAACTACGCCACCTTGTCATAATATCTTTTTTCTTTTGTTTGTTGTTTGTTTTCATTTTACCCCTTTGTTGATCTGCTTTTACACTTCACACCCCTATACTTCTGAAATATCTTCATTGGCTTCCTAACTCCCTACCTAAATACATTAGTCGCTACAACAAAAATAATTTTTAACAACAATAATATGCACATTAATAAAGAATGATAAAGTCTTTATCAACATTAATTAATTATCATTGGATTCAATGTCACTGCAGGCTTTAGGAACATTTACAAAAAGTGTTAAAAATATATTTAATGGCAATTAAGCTATAGCCGTTAATTAATTGCGATCATTCAAAGTGTAGTGAGTATAGACCAAAGCTTTATTGTACGATATTATTTTCCCATTTCTCATCGATCTCAGAAATATTGGAGTGATAAAACATATTTTAGTTTTGCCTTTGAGGCCATATTAATTTGTTGAATATCTAGATCTCAAGTTTCTACAATTTGAGATCTAATTTATTCCCTAATTATAGTAATATTTTAATGTGACTTATTATTCCAAATGTGAGTTCTTTCGTCGTCATGTTAGTGTGTATTTAGACAAACTTGGTTGAAAACTAAATTGTAATCTTAGCAATAATAGATGAACTGTACTTCCATCTCTTTACTCATAAAATAAATGAGCATTTAGTCATGAAATTTGAAGGTTCTATTCTTATGGTTAGGTACACATTCAATCTTTTCTTGGTGTATGGAACTAGTGGCGGCTTTACGAGCCTAAAAAAAAAACATTTGTTTTAGGTCTTCAAATTTGAGGGGCTTTTTTTCTTTAAGTAATAACAAATTATAGAATATTGAGTTTTATCGATAACAAATATACATTTTTCATATAAGTGGAAAAATTATTTGAAGTTTGATAAATCTAAAATACTATGTCTCAAAAATATATGGATCAACTATAATAAACTTCATTTTTTTTAAAAAAAAAATCAAAATTAAAGACCTCTGTTCGAATTTGATTTTAGGTCACTGATATGTTTGAATCGCCCCTTTGTGAAACGTTATCAAAGAAGGCTATTTCACCAATTGGCAACTCAAATGGATTCATTAGCCAAATTTTCTCGAAAAAATGTTCAACTTGCAATATTCGATATTGAATTTATTGACATAATATTTCTATTTTGCAATATCCGATATTGAATTTATTGACATCATATGTCTATTTTTCCATGTTATCTTTAGAATTAATTCCTACTACATATCTTTCAATTCATCCTGACCTGAATATAGGGGGGAAACACGAAAAACTTGAAAACGTAAGGGGTTAATTTTGAAAACTTTCCAAATAATTTTTAAGAAAATGAAAAAAGAAAAAAAAAAATTATTTAAGTATGCAACATAGCTTTTTCTATTTGTAGAAAAATGTCAGTGATTTGACTGCTTTATACTAATTTGGTTAAAATAATGAGTTAGTCACTTTCAAGTATATGGTTTATACAACCCATGAATTGTACTTGCTAATATTTGTTAAATAAAAAAGGTGGCTGCACTTTTTATCGTAAACTTGAGATATTGGAAAATGACATGAAACTATTGGAAATTGAAGAATCAAAGTTAGTATAAGTAACTGCCTGCCTGCACTTGTTTTTGTCTAACTATATAAAATACAATTACATTTTTGTCTCTTTATTACTACTCAATCATATTTTATACCATCTATAACAACCTTTTTTTGTTTTAATCTGCAAATTTTAATATTATTAGAGCATTAAAGATTCGGCGGATTTTAGCTACCTCAATTGCATTTAAAGGCAGAGTGTGGGGTATTGAAAAAGTGAAAAGTCTCAAGTATGTTATCGAATTTGAAAAAAGACTCATCAATGTCATTTTCGTTTGAGAAAAAGCTCATACATGCCATTATTTGTCAACTAAAAATAATTTTGATTTTGCAAAACCATTTGCACAGAGAAATGGACTTGTTCTTGTTTTGGGAAGAGAAATTGTGTGCTCATTGCTCAACTAAAGATGCACATTTCTTCTTAAACGATTATCTAGCTAAAACACATTTAACTGCAATCTATCTTCATCAAAATTCAAGCGCATTTGTCATCTGTATGTTATCTTTGATGCAAAACATTAAATACTTGCAAGAGAAAACAACGTTCACATTTGAACACTTACATCTTTACAAGGAAAATGAAAAAAATCTGATAGTACACCAAAAACTATACACGCCTTGAAGGCGTGACACCAAACAAAGAATCAAAGCAAAATGAGATGGCTCGTACATGAGTAAATTAAAGTTGAAGGAAACAACAAAATCATATGAACACGCTAACATGCAAGTGGAATTACTGGCTCTGAGATGTTTATAGCATGAAAACAACTGCATCACTTATACAGGACTTACCGTTGGGGCTTCTCACTGAATTGCTCTACTTTCCTTCACACAATAGATATAGATTATGTGAGCTTCTTGAACATGCTTAGCCAGTATCCAGTTACATGTATTCGTTTCTGTTGATTTTACAATCTATTCTTCCGAGGTCTTTAACCCTTCTCTCTTCCCCTTTCAGCTAGCTAACTTACAACCCATTTGTACAGTATAGAGGAGTTCATGGGAAAAATGCATTAAACTAACAACTGACATCTCGTCACACCCTTTTCGAAAGATTCTTTTTCAACCCCTTAATAATTTTGCCAAACCACATTAAGTTCATTACACCAAGAGCTGCCGGAACTCCAAAAACCAAAAGAATACCGAAAATGTGCATGTGAATGACCTGCAATCAGTTAATGTTTCAAAGACAAACATAAGTAGATGATATAAATCATTTGATACTAGCACATCTTGAATGAGAAGATAAATAGATTGCACTTATTGGAAAGAAAGGAAATGAAGCACCCTAAAACTCCTTCAAGTACACAAAAGGAAAAGAATGAGGGGAAAAGAAAAAGAATATTGAAAAAAGAACCTCTTATACTATTTCCAAATCCCCTCTTCTATTTCCAAACCTCGTATACTGTTGCAGAGATATTCATGTAGATCCACGTCTCTTATATAATACAGAAATAAAAACCATTGATCACTTTCAAGAACAGCATTACTCACCAGCCAATAATTAACTTTTTTGAAGTAAGAAGAAACTTTTAACCAGCAAAAGGTCTGTCTCATATGCTGTCTAATCTTATACAAGATATGTGAAGAAAATGGACTGCACAGTGCCAAAAGTTCTACAGGGGAGACGGATTAAGCTTAGTGTTGATTCCTTCATGTGAATATTCTATAGATCCATATAGGTCTCTTTACTAGTATATCAGCTGTTTAAAAGGTATATTTACTTAGAATTTTCTCAGTCAATAAAGATTAGATTGCCTATTGCTACTTATGGTTGATCTCCATGTGTAAATATGAATATATTATTTTCTATAATGACAATTTTAAAACTTAGGTGAGATACAAATTTGCATTACTACAGGCATACAAATATGTAAAAGGATTAAAACAAACCTACCAAAAAGAAGACATGATGTAAGCATACCCCCATGTCTAAGTATTTCAAAAAACTAATGGATTATAGGACATAGCATGTATGATTCTTTTATGATGACAAGGGAAACCGGCAGCGCTACCCTTTGGGTGCGCACAAGGTAAAAACTCCGCTCCTATGCAATAGCTCGCAAACCACTTAGGAGAGGTAACCCACACTAGGCAAGTCCAGTGCGACGAGCTCGACCCAGAAGGCAAACTCCTTGCTTTTGCTTGCAAGGGGTTTCGAACTTGAGACCTCTAACATGGAAATCCCAAGCCCAAACCACTAGGCCACCCCGAAGGGTCATAGCCTGTATGAATCTTTTGCTTACTTTATGTTCTACTTTTCCCCAAGTTTGCATGGATTCCAAGAGATTGTAGGTCTTATAACACAATATACAACTTCCTTCCATGGGATTTTGGTCTACCCTGTCAACTTGTAACACCTTTCTTCATCATGGTTCCACATCTGCGGACGAAGCATTTGGACATCTATGTAAGACACGACCATCTCAAGCAATCTCTCAGTTCATTGTCTATCTATGTTTCTTTCATCTCCTATCGAATATGTCTAATCTTGTATTATCACACATCACTCTTAACATTTGCATTTTTGCGACACTCATTTTATGAATATGTTAGATTCACTCTCATATAATATTGTTAGTCTTACAATTAAGGCCATAAAATTCTTAAGATCAAGACTTTGATGTGTTTTTACGTCTAATGAAGTTAACAAATAAAATGGTTGGATTTTGACTAGGGTAAATAATTATCGGAACTTCTTTGGGCATTTCCGGAGAGTAGTAGAACATATTCCAAAATAGCCTAATCCCTCAGAAGAAAAAGTTAAGGGTTTGTTGAGCAGAGAGAGAGTTGACAAAAAACGAAGAATCACCTGATCATAGTGCAAAGAGACATGGTAAAACATGTAAATGAACAGCAATATTCTTGCAACCTGCAATTAGTAAATAGAATTCAGTTTAGCAAATACTACTAGGAATCGATCAATAGGTTAGATGTCTTAAAGACAATGGAATCAAGTCATTTATCAATTCTAAGGAGCAATCATTTCCCCGATCTGTCTAGAATTAGAAAATTTAGATGAGAGGAGTAACCAATGCACTAAAAAGTGTAACGGTCCTCTCTATATGACATGCAACTTATGTTTAATGGACTCTTCATTTGCTTTGAATATTCCTGTTAAACAGGTATGACATGATTAAAGTACATCATTCAGATTCTTCAGCATATGAAGAAACTTGCTAAAATCAAGTGTACCCTGGATAATCTCCATTCCTACATCCATGTAACCAACCATGCAAACAAGTTTGTTCATGTTGAAGGCATCACTTACCAACCATGCAAAAAATATCACCACACCATTAATCAGATATGCATAAGACCTTTTCAATCCAGCTGTATCAAGAAACCTGAAAAAAAGACATAAAGAGACATAAGTTCATAGGGTGCTACAACATGAATGCTGCTGCATTTCCCCAACAGGTGCTCTTAGCACCTACCATCTCATGTTGATCTCGGGTGTTGTCACCTCAGATATGAGTACCATGAACGTATAAAGTTGTCCTTCTCCAGTGTACATGGAGTATGCTACAGCAATTGCTGAAAGAGAATGATGGACAACCTGAAAATCAACAGTTAAAATTTGACATACAACATATAAATCTTTGCTAAATGAAGTTTTTTCCACTGGAGAATATATACTTACATACTCTAATCCACCCAAAGAAGGGTAAAACCAGCAAATCATTCCAAGGTCTGAAAGAAAGTACCCAGCTGACACCTGACAGAGTCACAAGGTGAGAGGATTAAAATGGCCATATACCGAGAGAATTTGATATCTGATATACCTACTGGCACATGAAAATAAGAGAGGTAAATCAAGTTCAAAGCTAATAGGTTAGTAAGTCCTGACCAGCATACCTGCTATATTGACTCTTTACGTTCAAGCAAGTTAATGCACCATGACCACATATCCCAGTCCACTAACCAAATGAAATCATGCAAATACCACGGAATAAAGCTAATGAACCACATAATGGAACTCTAATACACATTATACCAGCTTAAAGAAATAAAAACTAACTTTTTGCACTGATTTTTCTGAAGCTACATCTTTTTTCAGGAAGCTGTTGCAGTGTTATAGGAAGGAAACAAAAGAAACAATACATTTTTGTAGTTTGTATTTACAGAAAACACCTAAGCAAAGGAAAGACAATAAGTTCTTGAGTATTTTAATATTTCATGGTTCTTTTTTTTTGGTTGAATATAGAAAAAAGAGCATTCATTGACAGCCAAGCTGGTGTGAACGATTTGAACAAAAGTGAGAGTGACTAAACCAAAGCTCATTTATGCTATCCCATTATGATACTGATATTTCCTACTCCCACCAAAGAAGTACATGAAACAAAAAAGATCTTTTTCTCCTACTTGTGTTCCTTGCACTACTAAAGTACGCAAGGCAAAAGAGATCATCTTATATTATTTCTGTTCCTTCACTACTGTAGAACAATCTTGTCTCTTCCATCTCACATTAGTCTAAAAAATATAAGAAAACATAGTTAGAAGCTTACTTTGAAGATAGGGCATTTACATAAACTCTGAAACCGTACCCAGGGAGTTTACATCAGGAAACTCCCAAGCTTGCCGAGGAAGGAACAAAACAGAGAAAGAACTGTCTCTTTCTCTCTGTTGACATTTTGATACCTCCGGCTCATGATGGTTTCTTTAGCTGTGATTGGTACTTACAAAGAAACATTGACAGAGAACTAGGAAAATTCCACAACTGTGTAGTGAATATAAAATGTAACAGGAATTGGTTGGTGTTTTCACCAATTATCTTACACAAGGAGCATGAAGTCCCTACAATTCTTCTCCTCTCCTTCCTTGAGTTGTCCACCATCAATAATGCATTGTCCACCAGGTTAAAATAACAACCTTCCTACGTACTTCGGTGCCGTACTCATCTCCCTCCTATCCCACTCTAAAGATAACACCCAATCATATGGTTTCACTGACATCTTCCTCCCTTTTCCCCTCAGGCCTCAACAACATCACATCCTCCTCGGGAATCGGGTATCCCTCTAGGGTAGTCAGAGGTGGATTCAAAGTATCAGTACCAAGTTCATCTGAACTCAGTAATTTCGACGCAAAGCATAAATTTATGTGTAAAAAACTACGAAATTTATAACAAATAGTATTATTTTTTTTTTATGACAAGGGAAACCCGCAGCCGCTACCCTTTGGGTGCGCACAGGGTAAAACCCCCGCTCCTATGCAATAGCTCGCAAACCACATAGGAGAGGTAACCCGCACTAGGCAAACCCGGTGCGACGAGCTCGACACAAAAGCAAACCTCTTGCTTTCGCTGGCAAGGGGTTTCGAACTTGAGACCTCCAACATGGAAGTCCCAAGCCCAAATCACTGGGCCACCCCGAAGGGTATATAACAAATAGTATTATGAACCCGTAACTTTAAGAATACGATGAGTTCAACGCTAAAAAACTTAAAAGGTGAACCCATAAAGCTTAAATCTTGGATCTGTCTGCCTTGAGGCTAGTTAGAGCTTCAAAAAAGGTTCCTCTAATTGCTGCTCCTTTTCTCAATCTTGATTAACCTCCAAAAAGTGATATCTCATATGATTCTTTAACAGTTTCTAAAATAGTCAGGGACCATAGCCTCCGTATCATCCACAACCTTAAACCCCCTTTGGGAATCCCTCCTCACATTTCTCTATACGATGCAATTAAATCATGAATAAATCAACTATATCCCATTCAAATTATTTAGATTTTATCATATGAATCATCTACATCCATTTTGCTCTATCTTGTCCATTTTATTCCAATTCTGCAACAGTGCATATCCTTCCAAATTCATGCCCAAAGTGATTAAACTTCAAAAACCGGTTTTTTATCTTCATTATTCCTTTCAATCAATCTTGTGAGTCTAATATATCCCTGTATGAGACCAACTTTTTCATATAAAAGTATTATCATATAACCAATTTATTCATGTATTAGTTCACTCTAACAAGTCGCTGGTTGGCCCAGAAAAGAGAAGTAATATGGGTTAATAATAGACTATATTAAGTTTATTGTGAAAAGTAATTAGTTAGTCTCAAATATCTTCCCCCAAGTTCCAAATATAAGTACATATATAAATGTGTGTGTGTGGGCGCATGGGCGTGTTCTGTTCTGGAAGGCCAGGCCACAGGAATGGGGAATGAATATGACACTCAATAAATGTCTATAAAACAATGTGGGTTCTTTTTTGGTCTTTAATGTGGGTTCTTCAGATGTGGAATACTGCTATCTTTTTTATGGTCAACTCAAAAGGTGATTTTAGTATGCACAATTGTTTTTTTTCTTTGGTTAAGATTTAGTATCAAATACTTGGTTCAAGGCAAGTTATTTGAGTTGAAATCAGAGAACGGTTTTAAAAGAAATGTCACCATATTACCGTTCTCAGCACCCTCACCACCTGGTTTGCACATAAAAAAGAAGCAAGGGGGGGGGGGGGACATAAAAGACACACAAGTAAATAAGCCTTAGCTTAGCTAGGCGGGCTGGCACCAATGGGATTCTACCCCATGCTAAGTGTGAATTTGTATCCCTTTGACCCCCAAAAATCAATTGTCTTTCCCCTATAGAGAAACAGGTACATATAGGAAACAACAATCAGTAATCTTTTGCAAAAGAAATATTGAGCCTAAAATTTCTAGTAAAGAAGCAGAAATAGAGATGAATCCACAGAACATACTTAATAAATAATTTATAATTGAAGTTCCACCTACACTAGCATTACAAGTATCAATACCAGAGCCATCTTTGTTCTACAGCAGAGAGATATGTCACTGGATCTCAAATTCCTAAATATCAAAACCTTTCAAGGAAATCCAAAATGAAAGGGATATAACTAGACAATACTCATCATATACAGTAGAAGATAACTTACCCCTAATGCAAAAGTTGATAGTGGTGAACTTCTGGTGATTAAAAGGCCATCGGGATTTTGATCAGAGAAAAGATTGGACCAGAACGCAAAATACGTGGACACAGCAGATATGAAAATGGCATGAACTGTTGACATGCCACTGCAGAAAAATAAGTCTCACAAACATGAGAAGTGAATCATTAAATCCTTGGGAAAGATAGAGATAGAGCTGACTAATTACCGGTTGTTCCACTCAGTCCTTTGAATTTTTGTTAGGGTAGTGTACGTCCTAAAGTAAAAACTGCTGATCAGTTGACATAGATCATAGACCTGTGAAGAGCCAAAAGAGTTTAAAAGGAACGGTGGTACAGGGAGGAAATTGTGCAGCACATGAAAGTATATTATGTAGGACATGATCTATAATTTTCTGGTGAAACCAATTAGATGTTTTATTAGTTTCCCCCAATCTTTACTTTTACTTCACTACCATGAAGAGAGAAGACCAAGAAAATGTCAAAATTTCTTCATCAAGTATGACTCAACTTTTAATAAAAAAGGGAACTCCTTTCTTCAATAGTCACAAGAATGAAAAGGATAAAAGGATCTATAATCAATAAACCTTACCATTTTGCAAGCAAATATGCCAGCAAAGACAGAAGTGTAAGGTATAAAAGGATCTGCTAACAAATAAGTTTTAACCAGAGTCTCAGCCTGACTCTGATAAGATCTAAATGCCACTATATTCCGTGCAGGAGCTGCCTTTCTACCGATTGCAGTTGTCATGTCTTTAGCTCTCTTCTTAACAACTATCTATGTTTATACAATGAAGATCACCTATACATGTACACTGCAATATATCCCAGAGCTTCCTGAAATGGAAAATTCAGAAATATATCTATTAGCATGAAGCAGTTTCTTAATATAGTATGAGCATGATAAATGTTTGTTAATAAGGACTATGAGCATAATAAATGTATTTGATGCGCGTTGAGAAAAGACTTGGAAGGATAATTTTGAAACCTTTCAAGATGAAAATGAGTAGCTGCAAGTATCCTAAAGATCAAACTGCATACAGGCAGCTATGACAATAAAATCATCTGTATCCAAAATATATATATCAATTTAACTATGAATAGCTCAAAATATAAGCCACAAACATCATTTAATACACTTGAATGCCTTATATTCCCTCCTCTGTCTTCCTCCTAAATCACTGGAGTGTCCGATCCTCCAAAATCACAATGAAACAATCATGATCCAACTTGAACCCACTCTTGGCATCAACTTCTTGATTGCTGCCTTCCTAAGATATCCAGTCAATGAACCCTTACTGGAAGTAAAAGAGCTCGCATTAAGATCATGTACAACTTAAAACTACTTCTCCGCTACGACTATTTATCCCCTGTGTTAATATGAACTCAAAAACATTCTGCAAACTATCATACCACTTAGATCAACTAAAAGTTCTAGCTCAACAAACCTTAAGATAAACAGAAAACAAATTGCACCAGAAAAACTAAAATCACAGCATTACAACATATGCAAAGTGAATCAGCAAAGTAATTTCACCTTCCTTCCACACCCCACCCCCAAACCGTCAAAAACAACGGCAAACTAGTTTCTATTCACCGACCCATTTTCAAGATTTTATTTTTATGACCACTAGATGCTGCCAAATCAAAGGTCAAACAACCCAAATCTAGAACAATGCAAGAGATCAGGTCCAGAAAAGTAAGCAAAGTCACAATACTACAATCAATACCCAGAAAAGAAATAAACCAAAGATATATAACCAATGCACACAAAAGCTTACAGATCATAACAAAAACATTGCTTCTTACCCCGCAAAAATCTGCAGATTTCAGAAAAATCAACAGCATGCACCTCCCAAGGATGCAACTTTCCACAATACACAAAACCCAGAAACAAAAACCGATAAGAAAGCCAAAAGATAATATTTTTATTAATGTAAAATGGGTATTGAAGGAATGTGAAGAAGTAACCAAAAGTGAAATCAAGAAAAGGCAAAGAACCCGTGACAGGGGTGCAAAAACATAAGATACAATCAATTTGGAGGAACAACAAATGTAGATTTCGTGATTATTGAGCTGTTGTTTGTTCCTTTTTATGATTTTTTCTTAATTGGAACTGTAATGGAATCTCCAACCGAAGCAATGAATGAGAGAGAAGGGCGAATATGAAAATGTTAAAAATAAAAATAAAAATTGGGTGTGGTGGGAAATGGTGAAATATACAATCAATTAAAGTACACTGTTTTTTTTTTTTTTTTTTGATAAGTTGTCTTTTTGGTGTTAGCTGCTACGTGTGGGCTCATTCTTGGTTGCTATTTCATTATTTTTGAGTGGATGCTATTCTATCTTTACCTCTTCTTGATAATAAAATATTCCTATAACCTCCGTCTATATTACTCGTCCACTTTCTCTTTTTATACGTCTAGATAAGTAATAGAGAAAATTGAAAATACTTTTATATTTAATGTGAATTATTAGTTTTATATTTGAACTATTGATAACATTAAAAACATTCACTTACTTCATTAATGGAACTGAAATACACCTCAGATTTTACCACATGAGTAAAATACACCTCTAAATTTTCACTAAGTTTAGTGGTATTTTCAACACTTCTCTTCAACTTTTTATTAAGAATTGCACACTCCTACAAGATTTTGAGACCACTTGTTATGTCATGTCGCAGATTGGACAGGGCTGAAGCTACCCTAGGTCAAAATTACATTGTATATATAGGTCAAAATTTGATATATATATATATATATATATATATATAAGTGTTGACACATCTTGATATAAAATGAAGGTTTAGTGTAGTGGTTAAGGAGTTGCAAAACTTGTTTGAGGTTGAGTGTTCTATTCTTAATAGCAAATTTTTCGAGGTATTTTTAATATTTCTCTCCAAATAATATGGACGGAGGTAGTGTTTTATAAAAGATGTGAGGATAAAAAAAAGTCTAAAAATAGAATGAAGAAAAGCTAATGAAAGAAGTAAGTACTACGTCATAAATCATAATGGAAAGATTCAAAAGATTTAGAAGGAAAAAAAAGAAGAAGAAGAGACAAATATTGACACCCATTTCCACCTTTTTTTCTTTTTTATATATTTCGGTTACAAATAGAAAGGGTCTTTAGGAGGAGCAATTTTAATCAAAGGGTTGATTATAATTTATAATGGTCTACAATCAATATTCACAAATAGTCAAAACAATCATCCTAACTTTGGAAAAATTGTGACCTTATTGTTTGTCGTTTGGGAAATTTTTATTGACAATTCGACGTAAATAAAAAGGATTAAAAGAAAAATAATCTATTCTATAGAGTTTATAGTCCATGTTGCTTTTGAATATTCAAGATAATTCGAGGATTGACCAAAATAAATTCTGTTTAACTAAAAATGACCTGTCATGTTATAAAAATGGGAGGTAGAACTGCAGAGCTTTTCAATGTTACCTAATTGTATTTATTAAAAATATTTCCAATTTGAAAGAACCTTCTAAAGTAGGGGTGTGAATTATTCGGATTAAATCGAATAATCAAATCAAATTAAACCGAATTTTTATTTGGATTGGTTTTTTGGTTTTTCGGATTGATTTTGGATTAATAAATTACTTTGTTTGGTTTTTTGGTTTGGTTTCAAGAGTTAATCACTTTTGTTCCTTTTTTATTATTATTTTTCATGATGATTACGTTTATATTTTATATTTGAATTACACCTATAATAGGTATACTTATAAGTATTGGATTTTAAGTTTTACTTATGATTTATATTAGAAAGTATATTTAAGGGATTCAATATTATTACTTTGATTATGTTATTAATTATTGACATAACCGAATAACCAAACCGAAAAAAGTCGAACCGAATAGGGAAAAACCAAATCAAACCAAATTTATTTTGAATCGGATTGAACTACACTTTTACAAAACCAAAAAATCCAAACTGAATAGTGCAAAACCAAATCGAAAAACCGAATGCACACTCCTATTCTATAGGGAATAAACAAGTTTCAATTTAGAAATTAACTAAAAGTTGAACATTGAAATCAGAAAGTGAGGCAAAATGATCAAACAACTTGAAAGTTTATTTCTGGAGGTAAAATAGTTATGTTGTAGTTTCGAAAGGCAGCGAAGGTCCCCAAAGAAAGAAAGAAAAAAGACGGTTCTAATAGTTTCAACTTCCAAGTTAGAAACTTGACAACGAAGAATATGATTTTTTCAACCAAAAGAAAAATTACAAGATAGTAATCCCACAAGTGGGTCGGAAGGGTGGTGTGTACGCAAACCTTAGAAGGTAAAGAGTTTGTTTCTGATAGACAAAAGAAAAACCAGAACCTGAACCAGAAAAGGAAGTATTATCAAAAATATATATGAATTAGAACTCTAATACCGAAAATTTCAACCCCAATGGGAGATGAGGGCATGCGATTCTATGTTTGCTTCCTACAGCACTCTCATTACAAGCTTTACAACTAGCGACCACATCAAAATCTCCAGCCTGCGTGACACTCTTGTGCTTGATTTCACTCAAAACCACCCCATTGATGAATGTCGAGCCATTCAGAATATGCTGATACAGAAGCGTCACACTTTTCTGTATATGAAACCACCACCATTTCTTTATCATGATACTTTTCTGGATAAATTCTGAAATCCAGAACCAAGACACATAAGATTGACAGTTCCTGTGGAGGCATCAGGCTTCAATACAAACTTAACACCCAAAAAATCTCTGATGTGCCTTAATGCTTCTATTCCGTAGGGTGACAGCTTCCCAACGCGAACTTCTGAAACATCTTTGGGACACAAGGCACATAGAAGAAACAGCAGTCCCTGTTATGATAGACAAAAAAGAGATTGGTGAGCATTGGAACCAAGAAGTCATAGAACAGGAGAGAGCACCAGACCATCTTAAAGTAGATATCCTTGCTATTTTCAGCCCTAAATGGTGCTAGGCAACATTTATGAATGGGAACTGGAAGAAGCTTGCTCCAGGATTTAAATGTAGAAGTACTCATAAGCACACCAAAATGTCACATGAGTCAGCGGAGATTCAAGTCGAGATGCAAAGGTAAAAGACAGTGTCATGTAGAAAGTTGAAAGAGCCTGATATGATCAGCTAGAACTCATAAAGAGTAACGTTGTCAGAAATTACACACACCTGATGTGTTGAATCAACAACTCCTCCCTGTTTAATTTCCCCAAGTAGTGCAGAAGCTATTTGCTCGCCAACTTCCTCAGCAGGGATCAGATCTTTCCTATCATCCTCTAGGTCAGCATCATCTTCTCCTCTTGAATAAGAAACTGCAGTATCAACAGATATAACACAACCAGATGTAGTCTCTGCAACTAAAGAAATTCCGTAGCCAGGTGACCTGCAATCAAAGTTGATCTTCAGATATAATCAGCAGTTCCAACTTAAAACATGACCTGAATAGTTACTACATAAAAAGAAAGCAAGTGCGAGATATCTACAAAATGATCATACATTCCGGCTTGTGCTCCAGCTTTATGATCTGTAAAGATGTGAACATCTGAAAGGAAAGGATTCAAGATTCCACGAGCTGCATGTATCATGGTATTCTCAAACTGAACAGAGACCCTAGTTGAAAAGGAAACACCTCTAATTCTCTTCACCAGACCTTCATCAACCCATTTAATAGCCTGTATAATAGCAGTCACCAAAACAATTGGTCAAAAAAATCATTAATAGTTACTGAGCTACCTCAGAATAGAAAACAATGAAGTCTATGAAAAATAAACTCACCTTTAAACTATTTGGGACCATAGGGACTGAAAGAACTACTTCTCCACCACCTTTAGGAGCGACTCCCCGACTCTCAATTTTCAGTTCCAATCCTTCTGCAGGGACTCCGAACTGCTTCAATATAGGCAAAGTAGTTGATCGAAAAGTATCAATAGATGGGTCCTTTGAATCATTTGTGATCCCTGAAAAAGTTATTTCAAGCCTTACGATAATAACCAAATTCATAAAATAACTTCAACATTTTCGAACTCACATTTGGTTATAAGGAAATCAACGGTTTTAACGTCCAAAAGCTGTAAAATTCAAAGCGAGAGCAAGTTTCCGTACTTTTTGGGATTTATCTTTGCACTTCACAACTTTTTAGGGGAGTGATACTAGAGCTCCAGTGAGCTTCTTGAGCTATTAAACCCAAGCAACTTACTGGATAACAAACCTATCTCCCTTTTTATGTCCTCAACTTGCATTGAACCACCACCCAAAAGAGTCAAAAATAGGCCGATTTCCTTACAAAAGGCAGAGTTGAGACTAATAACAGCTACCAAGGGATTACAGACTTGCTATTTCCTCAACCACCTCCAGGGCTGTGTAACTATCAGGCTGCCAATCTCTTACACGTAGTTGCCTAGAAATCTTTTAAGCTTCTCATCTTAATTCATAGAATTTCAGAATTTGTCATTTTTTTTATGAAAGAATTTCAGAATTTGTCATTGCTATTGCACTTCTCAGTTGTCACTCAAAATTTATATGCAAAAACTCAAGGGATCAAATTGCAATTGTGTATGTGGTCTTCTAATCCTGGATGAAATTGATTGGTTCAGGACAATCAAAAACTGACAGCATGTGAGGAAGTGGAACTAGAAGCTAATGTGGTTACGAGAAGGAACTGATTTCTTTGATCAGGCTTCTACTTTAGGTGAAGCTGTAATATCCACCAGGCATGTTGACAATCACCAGAGCAACTCTGGTCCCAAATTAGGCTTAAAAACATGGAAGAGATGATAGATGTCCTGAAACAAAAGAGAAAAAAGAAGTAGAGACAGTTGAACGACGCTTTCAGCAGCAGACTGAGAGAATTGATAAAACTTGGCAAAGGTTGGGGAGGAGCTAAGATGAGGAAAACTGGTTCAAGGATGTTTTAGGAATACGACTAGGGGATTGGAGTGCCAAAGAAAACTGTGAAAATATGTGATATATTAAGGTATGAAAAATAACATAGAGATAAGATGCTGTACTGAACATTCCAGATGATTAATCCAATTAAGTTGTTTGGAAAAAATTTATCTATAAAAAGACACCTCAGTTCACGTGCCCACTTAGTATTTAAGGAGTCGTTTGGCCATGAACAAGATTCAGAATATTTGAACTAATATACATTTCAAATAAGTATTTGTTTATTAAATTGTCCCATTATTTCAATTTCAAACTTGAAAT